GCTATGTTTGGCTGCATTTGTATAGCTAACTTGGAAAATATTTGTAATGAAGAATAGAACTTCTTCTTTCCCTTGGCTGAAAGTCCAGGAGCATATGAAAAAAATGTCCAACGTGGACAAGCGTTCATTTTATATTTATAAAAAGCGTCTTGATAAAACAAGCGCTATTTTGTGAATTCTTCAACTGCATCCTTGATAATTTTTTCCAAACCAAGTGGCTTTACATCTAATAAAGTCATATCGTTGTTATCGAATATTACTGCTCCCTTGCCTCCCCAGTTAAAGGACATTATGATGTTTCCATAGCCATTGATGTAATCACCTTTGGCCAGAGCATCCAATCCACTCTTCAACGCCTCTTCGGTAGTCTTATTCATGATTGTCCATTTGGTTCCCGTGTACTTCTCGAACAAAGCAAGCGCTTCTTTTTGCGAAAATGTTGCATCCGCCAGATAGACAGGACGGTTACGAGTTTCTTCGGGATGAAGAAGGATCCCCTTAATGGCTTCACCAATATGCTGCAGAGTTGTTCCTGAAGCGCGATATTTTCCATCGTCGTACAAGATCACCGATCTGTTTTTGATATCAAAGCCAAGAAAACCGTTGCGGAAACCCCAGTCAAGGAACCCACCGGTGAAGACATACGTATATGAGATCTGATCTTTATGATCTTCGAGGACTTTGTGAATGGCGACTTTGCTGGTGTACACTGGAAGATTGACAACAGTGTCATGGAATGTATTTGCTGAAAATTCGGAAGGGAGGAAACGCTTAACTCCGGCGGCAATTGAGGCTTCGATTAACGTTTGGTCCAAGTTTTCATTAAGTCCATCAAATCCCAGGCAGGAAATCACTGCGTCTTGGCCTCGCAGAGCGAATACGAGGGCATCTTTACTGTGGTAATCGAGTTTGATGACTTTTGCGGCTGAAGGGAATGTTGCTTTCGAATCTGGCCGAGAGAGGACGGTGACGACGAAGAAAGGATTACTAAGCAGGGTAGAGAGTACGGCGTTGCCTAAAACACCAGATGCACCAACAATAACAATATTCTTGAGTGTAGAACTCATGTTTAGTTCGCAGATGATTGGTTCGTTGAGAAGCTGATATGATGGCAAATTTGTTTCTTCGATGCTTGTGTTGAATGAACACTCTCTAAAGTTAAAATAATGTATACTCTATAAGAAAAAATGTACACGTCGTATTTATAGCACAAATGGAAGTAGAAAGCAAAAGAAAAACACATAGGTAAAAAGCTTCATCATCATACAATGACTATTTTTTTCTTCTAGTCATTTATGAACAGCCACAAACACAAAATGCTTGATCATCA